AAGAGGATCACTAAGATGCTTCAGGTCAGTTCATATGTTACTGTTGATATCAGAAGATTTGTACTCACTTTGAACCAGGAACACGATGGGAAGCTAAGCTTCGGAACAGATGCTTGGACATCCCCAAACTCCAAAGCTTATATTGCTGTAACCGTCCACCTTGAGCAGAATGGGGTCCTGTTGTGTATGCTGCTTGATCTCATTGAGGTTGCCGAGTCCCACTCTGGTTCGAACCTTGCACCGGCCTTCGCAAAGATCCTCGATGACTTCGGAATTGTGGACAAGGTCAATACAACGATATTCTTCAACTTTGAATTAGTTTACTCACTTTTATTTAGGTCCTCAGCATTACCTGCGACAACGCCTCCCCAAACAATGTCATGATCGACGAACTTGTAAAGCTTTTAGATGACTTTCCTGGCGCGGCAAACCGTACACGCTGCTTTACCCATATTCTCAACCTCGTCACCAAGAGTGTCATGAAGCAATTTGACCTCCCAAAGGCTAGGACAGGCGAGGTGCTCAATGCTGCTACACAGGCTCTTGCTGACCTGGCTTGCGATATTGAGAGCGAGGAAGTGGCGATGGCAAGTGATCTGGTTGGCGATGAAGAGGAAGATGACGATGGTGAAGGTCTGGCAGACATTTGAGATGGGATGTCGATGGATGAGGTAGCTGCGCTTGACGAGAGCTTGCAGCCAGTACGATTGGTGTTGGTGAAAGTACATACAGACTCAGACTCAACCTAACACAGTCGGACTTACAATGTTTGTTGGATAGTTGTGTAAACTTGCCTTCACAATCAAGAACTCAACTACCATTGTCTGTCCTGAATGGTTATCTATCCTTGAAGAACACACTGAGGTATGTAAATCCACAAAACAAAAAATTCTCTCTGTTCGGATGATGCCACATGATGTCGCTACATGATGGAACTCGACCTTCAATATGTTACAGTTTGCGCTCGTGTATCGTACACCCTTGGATAGCTTGACAAGTATATGTGAGATGAAGCTGAGATCGTATGAGCTTTCCAAAGAGGAGTGGAAGATTGCTGGCCAGCTGGCAGGCATTCTGGATGTGAGTAACTTCTATTCTCATTGCATCGGACATTCTTTGACGTCTACTCTAGATTTTCAAACAAGCAACACTTTTCTTCTCTGGCCAAACACCAAATCTTTTGAAGGTTATCTCTGCCATGGACTACATTGATAAGCACCTTGCATCTGGTGCCCTCAACGCGAAGTACTTGCCATCGATCCAAGTGTCAATGTTGATCGGAAAGCAGTTATTAAATAAGTATTACAACATGACTGATCATTCCGAAGTTTATCGGATTGCGATGGGTAAGTTCTCTTCTTTTATTCTGTTCTCACTATCTAACTCTTTTCTCAGTCCTCGACCCCAAGTGTAAACTCACTTACTTCCGATCTGCTGGATGGGAGGAAGAATGGATCAAAATGGCTTGTGGGATCGTTGAAGCAGAATTTGATAGAGGCTACATGGAGATGTGTATTGAAACCAATGACAAGGAGGAATCCCCATCAGTACGTTGGGTATATCTTCCACAGTTCGGTGTGGTGCTCACTATATTTATCAAGAGCCCCATCCAGAAATCAGCCAACCTCTTCGACGACCTGCTCGCTTGCTCCAGTTCCGCACCTCTCAACAATGAACTTCATAGTGAGCTTGCAGAATACCTAAGCACTGAACCAGAAAACGTCAAAGACCCACTTATCTGGTGGGTCGAAATGTGTGCCGTCTACCCCCGCTTATCGCGAATGGCACGTAATTATCTGTCTATCCCCGGTACGTCAATCCCTCATTCACATATATGCCAATCATGATAACACTCTGTTTCATTACCAGCCACCTCCACGGATGTCGAACACATCTTCAGCAAAGGGCGCCTTGTCCTTTCGCACATTTGTAACCGACTCACTGTTGCATCGACACGTGTGTTGATGTGCCTCGGCGCCTGGAGCAAGTTGAATCTTGTATGCAATGCTGACATTAAAGCAGTGGCAGTTCTTCCGGACATTGTAGGAGATGAGGATGAGCTTGAGCTTGGTTGGGATTACATATCGTATGATTAGATTCCTCTCGCGTACGTGTTCTGTACAATTTTTATTGATTCGAAAATGTGGTCTTCATTAGTTGTCAACCCTTCTGTCCACCCTCAATGGGTTTCTGACCCCTCTGACCCCTGTAAAACCCGTACCCGTACCCCAGAACTACCCCAACCTGTGTAGAGGGTAAGGGTGGAGGTGGGGTTGGGGTATAGGTCAACGCGAAATGACCCCGGGGTTACCCGTGACCATCACTATACTTGGATCAGGCCTCTTAACTTTAGGCAATTTATATCTGGATATTCAACAGTATTTAACTCAGGCATTTTCCAAAATTTTCTCAAATTTCCTCCGGATAGGCCTGAGGCCTACCCGGATTTTTTCCAAAATTTCCTCCGGATGGGGATCAGGCATTTGACATGAAACTCATGGGTCCTCATCTACCTTCCTACCGCTCCTTGTAGTCTTGTCATCATTGACATTCACGGCATTCACCACTTTACCACCAACTCCCACTGGTCGCACACTGGGTCTGACTACTCACGACCAAGCTTTCCTCACCATTCCTTCACTTCTCCGCACATCATCGTTGTAACTACTTTGAGAGAGACTCAAAGAGAGAGACACCTGCAGACCTCTCTTCTCGCCTTGAGCTGGCAGCAGAGAATCTGAACGAAACCGGGTAATAAGTTGTGGAGATGGCATATGTGCGCGTGGAAAACGACTGACCGTTCATTATTGCCTCCTCCTTTGGCGCTCCCTCGACAGCCCACTTTGATTTCACCTTGCAATGTTGGCTTTGTCGTGAAATGATTTGGGGTCTTTCTGTGATAAGTAAGTCCAGGTCAATTGCTACAGTCATCCACGTGACAATGTCACATAATCACTCAGTGAAACACTTGGGATGTATTTTGCATCTCCTGGCGGAATGAAAGGAGGTACTCTGCTCAAATTTTTTCCAATCTTCGGATCTAATGCCTGCGGAATCGACCATCAAAAATTCTCGATGAAAAATCACTTTTAAGTATTGAAACTGCTGAGCAAGCCAGGTAGATCATGGATTTTGGATGTTTTCAATTTTATACAGAGGGCCTCACTGTAAAAATGCTGTACCTGACCATACCACTCATGTATTTAGTGACCAGCATGGGTAATACCACAGTTTTTTCACCATAATGAGCACATCACACTGTATCACAACTGCATCTTGATGAAGAACCCGCACCCACGTGTGAAACTTGAAGCTGTGTGCACACCCTCCTTGCCATCGACTCGCGTTTATGGGCTCTCGCTCCACCTACTTGTGTTTACTGAATCTTGATCCATGTATTCATGTACGCAGAGGGTCTATAAACACTTATTGTTAATCTTAGTGGACATTCATTCGTTCAACGCAGCAGATTTGCTTCAGAAAGATCACCAACCTGCAGCTGCAAGGCTAGCTGCAGGTTTCTGTATGTATACGCGGAGTGGGCCCAATGTTTTACTTAACTTTTAATTGAGCGCCCCTCTCTTCTACCTATGGCTGGCCGAGCCAAATCCGATGTCGACAAGGCTTATGCGCGCAAACGTGTTTATGAGGCTTTGATGGTCCGGGCTGTCGCCGCATACAAGGCAGATCAAAAGAAACCGAAGAAAGATCGTCGTGGATACCGCAAAATCTGCCTTGATTTCGAGAGTCTTCAATTTGAAGAGACTGGTAAGTATATTAATGCTATTCTAAATGACATTCAACTCGTTTTTTTGACAGGAAATCATATGAAACTCAGTTATACAACCTTGAAATGACATGTTGCAGGTGGAATGTCGCGTGAACGAGCAAGTGCGGATCGATCCTGGCTTACTGATTCCGAGGTCGACATCATCATTGATTTCATCAACGAGATGGCGCATCGTGNGTTCCCTCTCAGTCATGCACGGCTGAAGGAGCATGTCGATGACATATGCAGTGCGCGCCTTGGCGCTTCCTTTCCCATCAAAGGTGTCGGAGAGAATTGGACTTACTGCTTTTCCAAAAAGTATTCCGAACGGACCAAGATCTCACGTTCCTGACCACTAGAAGACAAACGAGGACATGCAACAAATCCACACAACAACGAGGCGTGGTGGAAACTTCTTGGGGAGACCATCACAAAATACAAGATCAAAGAGGAGAACACGTACGCAACAGATGAAGTTGGAATACAGGCCCAGGGAGGTGGTGAGCATGAGTATGTTTTCGGCCCTTGTACAAAAGCCGCACCCTACCAGCAGCACTCTGGAATGCATGAAAATATTACCACCATCGTTACGATCTGTGCAGATGGCACAAGCACACCTCCTGCTGTTATCTTCAAGGGGAGTGCCTACCAGGTCAAATGGGGGGAAAATAATCCCCTTAATGCATCGTATGTCATTCTATTCACTATCTTCATGTCTGTAAATAAATCTTCTGCTAGGATCGGATACCAGCAGAAGGGCTGGACAGATGGTGAAATCGGCGCATCCTGGATGAAGTTATTTGAGAAAGCAACGCGAGAAAAGGCAAATGGCAAGTACCGCTTACTAATTGTGGACGGACACAACTCACACTACACGGTCGCCTTTCTCCTTCTTGCTCGCCTCCACATGGTCATAGTCATCTGCTATGTTGCGCATGGGACACATGTCTATCAAGGTCTTGATGTGGTCATGTTTGCTGTGCTGAAACACTATCTCGGCGTGGAGTGCGATGCACTGCTTCGTACAACTGGGAATGCAATCGACAAAGGAAATTTTCTCCAGGTCATATCTAAGGCCTACATTACCACTCTGACCCCAGAACTCATCAAGACTGCTTTCCGCAAGACCGGCATCTGGCCATTCAATCCCAATGTCATTACTGCTGATATGCTTGCGCCAAGCAAGGAGACTTCCATCCAGAGCCACCTTCCTGTCCCTACTTCCTCTCAGCCTGTCCAGATTCTTGCCACCATGTTGAGGGACCTTCAAATTGCGGGAGATACTCCAGATACCGATGCTGATGTTATCTCAGGGGGTCAGCGGGCCGGGCCGTCACCCACACGAAATGAAACAACAGTAAATTCCACACGCACACGCCATTCAACCAGAACCACCACTCACCTCAAAATCCTCGAAGGAGCTGTTGCCGCCCTCAAAAAGACCAACCTTGCCTTCCTTGCCACTCCCACTCCCACTACTGCTGCTGATCCTATGCCTACCACTACCACCCGTACTGTCCAGCAAAATTCCGTTCCCATCAATGACGCAGCAGCGGCATTGGCTATCGTGCCCACTACAGCAAACGAGCTGCTTCTCCTGGCAGCGCTTCGGGAATCACAAAGCCAGAACCTTCGCACTGAGGTCCACGCATTTGAGCTCCAGGCATCCAACATCCTCAACGAAGCCTACGCAAAGCGGCTCTGCGCAAAACTGGCGGCACGAGAAGAGAAGCGCAATAAGCAGAAGACCATAAAGCTGGTCGGTGATGGTCTGGCTCGGCTTCTGAGTGGGGACGAGTTCTATGAGCTAGCACAGCAGAAAGAGAAGGAGATGCGTGAGGTTGCGAGGGAGAAGGAGAGGAAGAAGGATGGCAGAGCGTTGTACAAGGCAGCTGTTGAGGAATGGGAGGTTGTTGAACAGGAGTGAAAGGATGCCAAGGCCGTCAAAGCATGGGAGAAGAAACAGGACGCTGCAAAGGCGAAGGGAACACGCTTCACCTTAATCAAACCAAAGGGGGATCCAGCCCCGAAAGCCACCCCAAAGCCGAAGTTGAAGGACTTTCTGGGTGCCGTAGCTGAGGATCAAGAACCCAAGAGCAGTGGTGACGACGCTGATGAGGGGGGGGGAAGTGCAAGTGTGAGCGGCAGCGATGGAGACAACGACAACGACGACAATGACTGATCGGGCTAGGCGGGCCGGGCCCTGTACCATTGACCCATAATTCCGGTTTCACCTCAGCCACCTCCAATTCCTTCGCCCAGCTCTCAAATCTTGCTCATTTCTTTTAAAATCACTCTCATATTGTAGCTGGGATACACGTTGATACTGTTGTACCTTTTTGTTTGTGAAATTCTATTTATTCCTTTCATCGCATGATTTCTACGATTTGGGTGTGTCATTGACACGTGCATGACTGTATGTATATGATCTGAGGTGCTTTGATGTTTTTTTTACCATAGAGATCAAGTAGAGATGACTTTGCATTTTTCCATTTTCTTTCAACATGGAACTCTCGAGGACGCACATTGCAGGTAGGTCCAACACAAAACTCATGATTAGCCATCACAGCAGACCCTGCTCATTCATTTCAGTTGCCCGGCACTAAATGATGAGATTGCAGGCCCAGTGGTAGTAGATGCCCAAGGGACGCCCCGTCAAGTGATTACAAGACATATTTATCTTGGCGACATCTTGGCGGCTCGTATCGCTCAATCCTTATCGTCTACATTGTATCAGTGCCCTCTCGGCGGGGCTTTAGTGACATGTGAGGAACATGACCCCCTGAAGCTCCTGGAAAGTTGACCTTTTGGGGACCTGCAAGAGAAAAAAATCCAGGAATCCTCAGTATCTTTGCTAAGTCAACTTTTGGAGATGTCATGCACCAATTAAAGTAGTAATTATCTTCTCCTGCCACATTGCATCTGATATGTAATGTTGTTCAATTTGAAATTTCTTGCCTGCCAATGATAATTCTCATACAATTTCAACCTCCACATTATTTCTACTTGAAATTTTTTCATTTATCATCTCAGGGGCCACAGTAAGCCAATCCTTCCGAAAAATTACATATTTGTACAAGACTCAAAACCAAGAAGTTGTGGTGTCGGAAGGATCCCACCGGTGTGAGGTGTCAGAATTCACCCTGTGCATGTGTCAATTTGGGGTGGCCTATTGTTTTGCATTCAGCTGTAAGTACTAAGTAGCAATATATTATATGGTCAATCTACTAATCCATTTACAATGCTTTGTGATAGATACCTTGGGAGGGTGAGAATACTCAACCACGCTAATCTTGCATTTCTTGACAGTCTTGCAGAGCTAGCAACCCAGTATCTACCTGAATGAGGTCTGGGGAAATTTTGAAGAAGATTGGGAAAAGATTCTCATCACCTCGTGTTAGCTAGGTCTCCCAGCCTCATATTTCTAAGCAATCCAAACAACTCACTCTTCTGCAAACATGGCGCAAATAATATGACTTCCTGGAGGTCATATTTTCATATTGGACCAAACACTCCACTCTTCTGCAAACATGGCCCAAACACTCTCTTTGCTGCTGCGAGGAGTCGGCCAAAGGCCGGACGACGAGCAGCAGCTCCTTTGACAAGCTAAGTAGATATTTATTCAATCTAATGGAGTTCTTGTGAAGAAACAAAAAATACAATAAATCTTGGTCAAACTGTGGGTGATGGGAAGCCTGAGGACAAGTTCAATTACTTAGTACATTTTCTAAGTTTTTTTCGTTGGGTGAAGCCAAGGTTGTACTAAGAACCCTGACTAATGTATTTAAAATACAGAAGCGAGGTTTTGTTGATGAAGTCAACCTCTAGTAAATCAAGGCAGCCATAATATTCCAGTCACAATAATACTCCCAGGATGAAAGAGATTTTTTCAATGTTGCTCATGGGCCAGAAGGCATTGAGAGAGCTTGTGGATGGTATGCTGGGAGCCATCAGTGCCTAATTTTGCAAAATTTGTCGTTGTATTTGGCCAGGACAAATAGTTAGAAAAAATACATCATATATACCTGCTTTGAAGTTTATTTATTCAAACATTCCATCTAAATCTTTTATTTCCAGTTGGAATATTACACTACTTACATGTGATTTATGTACATCCATTTCAATGCACCTCACTTGGACAAATTTGTTGTCTGTGACGTCAAATGTTTAACCAAAGTCGATGAATTGTCACCATATTTTTCTGGACAACACTGCCCCCACAACAATCACACTCTACTTTTACACAGATTTACATCTGGTAATTAGTTACACAAGGTGACTAAAAATGCATAAAGTACACCAGTGCAAAGATGATCAGGTGGGTTTCAAAGAGACTTATATCTTTCCTTTTTCAAAGAAAAAAAAAATCATGTCTTCATTTTTTTCCCTTTTTTCCCCCAAATAACATATTTTTAACAAAGCATAGGCATGGACAAGAATTGGCACCAAAAATTCACATCCGAACGCCATTGTAATTTTATAACTTGTACATACCTTTTGATATGAAAACCATGACTGTCAAAGCACAACCTGTACCCACCAAGGGTTTATGACCCCGCTCTGAAAAATATATTACCCTCCCGCAGGGAAATCAAGAAGCGGGCCTGATATCTGTCCTGAAACATGAGAGTTCACAATTTGGAGATCAGTTGCAAGCGACACATCATGCCTTCGATTTTAGAAGAGCCCTCCCTCTACCTAACTTCACCTTGAAACCCGGACCTAAACTTGTCTTTACTCCCGGACCAAGCGTCATAGGGCAAAAATAAATTACCCAATGTTCCTATTGGCAACCCGTTTCATCTGAATTCATTAAGAAGTCAATATCACGTTCGAATGGGGATATGAAAAGATCTACAACGTTATGGTAACAATTTCGCTTTGTGAGCGGCTGGAAGGCCGTCAATGTGTTCCTCATTATGTGCGGGGTGCTACCGTCGAACTGTGTTGGAGCTATTATTATTATTTCGCATCGCATTCCAACATACATCCAGTTGTCAGTGAAATGAAAAGCGCCCAAATACCTTAGGGGCGTCCTCGGAAAACAATCGCCATTGCTAATCAGTGATGCTGGTCTCGATCGGAGGAAGCGGAGGATTTCCCCGCAAAGAAGTTGATCGAGTGATTTCAATCATGTTCCGAAACTCAATTTCTCAAAATCCGAAAGAGCCTTTGTGTGCGCTTTTTAATGCTGGACATGCGACATTGAAGCAAAGAGGAAATCTGCACCATGGACGATCTCGGCGTGAAACTCATAGCGAAAGACGAGCGTACCCCCCTGGGAAATTGGTCATTCAGTCTTGACCCTATCGGACGCACCAATGCACCGAGCTATACTAGTGATTCCTACAGGGCAGAGAAGAAGTTCACCAACGAAAACGGAATTTATACGGATGGAAGTCAGCAGGAAGCAACTTGGTCACGAGTTGAACTTTTGACATGAAACTCCTAAGAGGACGGACGGCCTGGAACGGCCTCCATTCTTGGAGCAGAAGATCCACAAAAAAAAACAAGAAGGCTTTGGAATCCCTAGGATTGGGAGGTACTTCCCATAACCGTAACCCTTCGTTCCGCAGTATACAAATTCCCAAGTCAAAGCCTCCTCATGATGGGATAGAGTGGTCTTTTCCAGCTAAGTCCCATCTCGCCACTGCATCTCGCCTCAAAAGATCGTCATTTATAAAATCGGAAAGGGTCACGATAGGCGCTTTTAACTGCGCCTAGGGTTGATTTAAACAAGGCTAGTGCCGACGTCGTGACATCCGACCCTTGTAAATTGCTGTGTTCAACAACACTACTATGAAATCGGAAAAACGCCTTCTAACAATATAATACAGGTTTTCCGAGGAGAGCGCGAAACGAATACATACATGGCTCACCCAAAATATGGATGGGTCGAATCTGAATCCACGGAAACTCCACTTTCTTTCACACTCGGACTTCCTGTTGGTACAAAGTGATGTTTCGAGTGACCCTGGATCTAAGTAGAATGCGCAGTAGCGAAGTCTGGCCTCCCTGATGGGTTAAGAAGCCGGTAAACAAGCTTATACACTGCGCTCCTGGAGGAAAAGTAACCTGAATAAACTGAATCAGACTCACCAGGACCGTAGTTGACGAATTTCCAGACATAGGAGGAACGATCCCAGCCCGAGTACATAGCTCCTCTGACAATCCTTGAAACTTGGAAGCGTCCAAGCCTGAAACGTGAAAGCGTCCAAGCCAGGGCTGATCGATGATCGCGAGAACCGATCATGGTTTGTGCCACGTGTTACATGTAATAAAGACAAAGCTTGATATATATCGCATCCGATTTTCACCTCCGCACCATCACCATGTCGTCTGAAGGTGAGGACTTCAACGAGGACAACATGTCTGGTCTGCCTCAAAATCAGAAGAAGCGAAGGATACAACGAGCATGTGACATCTGCAGGAGGAAGAAAAGTGTGTCAGGTCTATCGGTTTTGTTTGGCCACTGACCTAAGCTTCGTCGTCTTTAGTCCGATGTATGCAAATAAGTGGCCTCTCCTCGACATTTCATCACTAATATTTCATCAGGCGACGGAGTCCAAATGCCCGGAAATCGTTGTTCAAACTGTATAACGTGCAGTTTCGATTGTACGTATGTTGAGGCAGCGAAGGTGAGTCCGTCCATGATATGTCTCACTGGAGGTTGTCGTTAATTCTCCACGTTTAGAAACGAGGTCCTCCAAAGGGGTTTGGAAATCCCTATTTTCCCAATCACAAGTCTGATTCCCTGTCTAGTTACGTGGAAAACTTGGAATGTCGCGTGGAAATGCTGAAACGTCGTGTGGAAATGCTGGAAGAGGTTTTGCGGAGGGTACGTTGAACAATCCACTAAAAAACCTAGTCCAATTATTTCGACTAGTTATGCCCAGACCAGAACATTTTGAAAGAGCTCCACATTGCCACAGACCGAGAAAACCATCCCCCTGACGCCGCTGTGAAAGTAGAGCAAGTCTGTAGCTCTGCTTCCTTGCCGCGCTCTGTCAATGTAGCCACATCCGTCACCAGTAGGGTCGGTGAACCCGGCGCCGACCAGCAAGACGAGGACTCTGTTAATCCAACTCTCGTAGAAAACCTGAAGGAACCTGACATCGATAGGCCCAGTGACAAGATCGAAGACCTCATTCAGACCGCGATGGAGCTCAAGAGCGAGTACGTGGGCAGCGACAACTTCGAAGCCTCTCCTTCAATGAGTCTTGGCCACATGCGTTTTGAATTTAGCGCACCACAACCCGTTCGTCTCGTCCTTTTTCCATGTTAGCGATCTGTCTCATATTTTGTAGTGGGAAAAATGCCTTGGAGGCCCAAACAACCCACCGATGCAATCATTTCCTGATCGGGATCTCATGGAGCAACTCGTCGACGCTTTTTTTCTGCACTTCAATCTCTATCAAGCTGTCCTTCATCGGCCAACCTTTGAGAGATCCGTTGCAGAAGACCTACATCTCACAAATACCGGCTTTGCATGTACCCTTCTGCTTGTCTGCGCAATTGGATCACGGTTCTCAGAGGATCCCCGAGTATTTCTTGAAGGACAGGATTCACCTCATTCCCGTGGCTGGAAGTGGTTTGAGCAAGTACAGACAGCTAGGTCGCTCTTAGTCTCACCTTCACTGTATGACATGCAATTCTACTGTGTAAGTTACTGTTTTCTCATCCGTTGTTCATCTGAACGTATTCTCAAGCTCTCGGTAATGTTCTTGAAAGACTCTTCTGCTCCTCTGTCATGTTGGTCCATGGTTGGCATTGGTATCCGGTTGGCACAGGAGGTAGGCGCACATAGGCGCAAAGCACGGGACCATGTGATGACCGTAGAGGACGAGCTGTGGAAGCGCGCCTTCTGGTACTAGCCCAAATCAGACATCACGAATTAAATCTGACAAGCCATGCATCGCAGGTTTCTGGTCTGTATAGACAGGGACTTCAGCAGTGCTCTCGGTCGCCCCTGTGCAATTCAAGATGAAGAGTAAGCCTTATCTCCCTACCGGATTCTTAAAGCTGAGGTTGATTTTCCAGCTTTGACCTTGACATGCCCATTGAGTGTGATGACGAATACTGGGAACATCCTGATCCTTCGCAGCGTTTCAAGCAACCCGCAAATAAACCCTCGCTTATCAGTTACTTCATTCTCGACATTAAGCTACACCAGATTGCAAGCATTGCCTTGCGTACAATCGTAAGTTTTATCTGTTCGGATGGCATCTTTGATACAAAACTAAACACTTACTTTGTGCAGTATACGATCAACAAGTCCAAAAGCTTGCTTGGCTTAGGCCCTCAGCGGGAGACGCATAATATAGTGGCGGAGCTTGACTCGGCTCTCAACGAATGGGTGGACTCAGTCCCGAATCACTGTACGTAATGCCATCGCTCGCTTCAACTTGACTTATTCACGATGCGTTCGAACTTAAAAGTGCGCTGGGATCCAAATCGCGAAGACGATAGATTTTTCAAACAATCTATCGTCTTATACGGGATCTACTATTACGTCCAGATTCTTGTCCATCGTCCATTCATGCCATCGAAAAACAAGTCGTCACACTCGCCATTTCCTTCGTTGGCCATCTGCACGAATGCCGCAAGGTCATGTAGCCATATCGCCGACATTCTGCAGAAAAGGAATTTCATCCCTCCGGCGCTACTTCAGGTAAGTATCACTCTGCATTTGACAATCGCGGCTGACGTTGATTGCCCTACTAGTTACCTACATTCACATCCGGAATTGTGTTGCTGGTGAGCATCAGGGGAGGGAAGCGCTCGGGTCTGCCAATAGATCACAATAAAGAAATGTCAGATGTTTACAAATGCATGCGGATGCTAAGAAAGTCCGAGGACCGGTGGCATCCAGCAGGTCGCTGCTGGTACGTTTATCTCCGCCCCTTCTTTGTGCTTTCACATATATTTTCTGGTTTAGGGATACCCTATACGAGTTAACGCACATCGAAAACCCTCCTCTCCTACAGCGTAATCCATCTACGAACAAGCGCGAACGGGATTCTGAGGTCCCTATGACATCTCGTTCTCCCCCTATGGCATATCTTTCCCCCCCCAAGGATGATTGCCTATCACCAAACAACGTCCTAAGAAACATTTCTAGTTTACAGCGCGTGACCAGGCATGTGCCTATACCCATGAGACAGTTACCGTTGCCACAAGAGACGCGTTCTGCTACTCAAGAAGACCAGCCTCAAAGGCAAGACCTACTTCAGCTTCTTCCTCCTCCGCAGTTATTGCAGGCGCACAGGCTGCTACATGCACAGCGCTCATCGGATAGTCTTCAGCCACCCCAGCCGTCGGAGTGCTATAGGCTACCGATGTACAGCAATGAACTCCCAACGTTGTCTCCACATGGCAAATTCTCGATGACCGGACAGTCACCTTTTGACTATAGCGACTGGTATCCTCCAACCGAGCTTGCGAGTGGGAGTGGGGGTACAACCACAAACGTTACTTCTTCAATCATCGGCAACTCTGACACATCCAGTTCCTTCACATTCAGCTACCGGTATCCCATTGTCACCGAAACAGAATCTTCAATGCAGGGGTATGGTGTGATTGGCGGTGGGCCTGGGAGTATGATGGACACACCGGGCTCGAGTGCGATGTATAATCACTCTGCACCACTCAATTACCATCCAGGGGCGCCGGATTCGGACACAGGTTCCTATATCGCGCCCACGAGATCAAATAGAAACTCCTACGCCGGGTCGTCAAGTCCAAGTGGGGGATCCTATGCTGCCCCCGCAATATCAAGCACATCACATGCCGCCTCTGCCCTGTCAATGAATAGTGTGGGGATGTACAGGGGCCAGTCATTGGGCGGTGGTGGGATGGTCTATGCTCCGCAGGGTTCTCATCTTAGGCTTGTGGACAGGTATGCTGAACAACCGCAAACTTCGTACATCGACCCAGATTCGATGTCGACGTGGTCTACCGCTCCGATTGGGTTTGCGTACGTTTTCATTTCCTCGTCTCGGGGCAAATACTCACTTTCACTTCTGCTCTGTATGTAGACTAGAAGAGTGGGGATCGTATTTATAATACTGGCGAGCCGACCCAGCATCCTCGGGACATATTATCCACGGATAGACCTTTTCCTGATGCTTGAACGTTCAAGAACGTTTGAACGGCGACAAGGGACGAGGATAGGTATGTGATTCGAGGAGTGAGCGAGGTGGGTGAGTTCCAATGGTGGCGTTGGCACCGTGATGGAATAAGAGAGTAAGGATGGTTCCAAGGGCCGAAAGAAGTGCGTGCGCCAGAGGGAAGCAAAGAAAGCTTGTCTCGACTGATTTCTTACATCGCTGGGGGGGGATGCATCCCCCCAGCCATTCCATTAGTTTTGACCAAAATAGACGGCTCAAGAGAGTTTGAATGTTCTTCCCTTACCACTCGCCAGTGACCCGAAAGCCGCTTGTCTCCACGTATTTCTCATCGTCGGGGAGTCCGGCAACGGAAATAGATTATACTAATTTATAGGCGATTCGAGGCAGGTGTGCGTGATTTCTGCAGCCGCATTCTCTTGACCCGAATCACCAGTGCTCCTGGTAGTCTAGTCCATCATCGACATCCACGGGATCCACCACTCCGCCACCAACTCCCACTGTAGTCGCGCGCTGGGTCTGACTACTCACGACCAAGCCCTCGCCCTCCTCGCCGTTCCTTCACCTGCACGCCGTCGTTGTGCTTCAGCCGTGAAGTTGCGTTATGTAATGGCTACTACTTTGAGAGAGACTCAAGGAGAGAGACACCCGCGCACCGCTCTTCTCGCCTCGAGCTGGCAGCAGAGAATCTGAACGAAACCGGGTAAGTCGCGTAGATGGCATATATGCGCGTGGAAAACGACTGACCGTTCATTACAGCTAACTGCATAGTCATAGACCATATCTAAATTTTACTTTGTGCGCCTTTATTTGTACAAACAACCGTATTAGGTAGAACGCCCTTCCCAGTTAGCAAGTTCCAACCGCTCCACCCTTATGACGTGCGGGGCGGGATTGGAGCATTTGGAGCAACTACCGAAACAGTGCTAGAACGTGGAGCAATGGGCAGCGCGCTGTCATGTATGTCATGGTTTACATAGCCACGGCCTAAAACGGATGTTTACGCACAGACAAAGGCACGAAGTGAAAGTCCAGATGTGGTCTACGATTATGCAGTTAGCTGTAAAGTTGCCTCCTCACTTGGCGTTCCCTGGACATCCCACTTTAATTACGCCTTGCAATCCGCCACAGCAGACCTTGCTTATTCATTTCAGTTGCCGTGCACTAAATGAGGATATTTCAGGCCCAGTGGCAGTAGACGCCCAAGCGACGCCTTGTGAAGTGATTACTAGATAATAGTAGACGTTTCTTGGCGACATCCGAGTCTTGGTGGCTCGTATCGCTTAATCCGTATTGTCTAAGGTGTCCCAGTGCCCTCTTGGTGGGTTTTAGTGATAATCGAATGTTATGTGAGGAATACAACCCCCGGAAGCTCCTGGAAAGTTGACCGTTCGGGAACCTGCAAGAGAAAGAAACAAAAAAAATTCTAGGCATGTCAGGTGACACTGACAGTTGACGTCAGTGATTGAGCTTGTTGACGTCATTGTCAGTGATCGAACTACTTGATGACGCAATCGTGGGGAAGGCATAAAGAATGATTGACGAGAATTCATCTGGTCGTTGGCTGGTCGATCCCCCGCTAGCATCCAATGAACCAAACAATTCGTCCTCGCGTAAGTCATACAAAATGCTCCATCCTCTTCAGTAATAATTTGACATCTCCTAGGCTGGACGAACAGGTCAAAGGAATTCAACTTTGTTAACAGTCCAGTTCAGCCTGTGGATAATCAGTATATTTTGACGCAATTGGAAATACTGCATTATAATCATCTTGGTCAAACACCAGATGATCTTTACGCGTTGGGATCGTTTGTTAGTCCGCGCTTCACTCAAACACACACGGACATAGTCAGTACAACAGTGAATTGCCTTGAGAGATTCTCTGACTTGGGTTCAATTTTACAGCCACCTTCCCCTATCAGCAGTGTTGAAGAGCTAACAAATCAAGATAGTTCGGATGACTCAGGCACCTCAGTCTCTGTCTCAACTGCATTTTATCCTGATGCATACAATGAGGGCTCTGATACCATATTTTCCACAGATGATTCAGTTCTCTTCTACGTGAATTTGAAGATTATAATGAATGCAACCGCTCATCCTTTCAGATCACTTCTTGGTGCCCCATTGTCTGATCCCCGCTTTCGCAATCACGTTATATCCCTTTCAGGATCGTCGGACATACTTAATATAATCCTACATATGCTCTATGGCACTCCGTCAGCCCAATATTCACCAACATTCGAAACCCTGGTTATAGCTGTTGACCAGATGCCGGCATATGACATTCAGCCACATGTGCACATCATCCCTCCAACGTGGCTCTACAACCTACTGGTCTCGCACGCACCTTTCTCTGCTATGGAGCTATATTCTCTGGCTGCACCACAGTTTGGACGACCTCGCAGTAAATGCATCCTCTCACCTACTCTCCTATTCAATATCCACCCTTTCGGATGAGCTTGCAGAGCGCATGGGGGCTGTGTACCTGAAACGACTCCTTCTGTTGCATCTTGAGTGTTTCAACACACTGAAAAAAATCCTGCTTCGGCCTCTGAACCCACACCCACCGACCAAGGACTGTGATTTTCATGACCAAAAAAGACTCTCACAAGTGTGGGCATTGGCTATAGCGTACGTCGCATTTGATGCAAAACCTGGTCTGTGAAAGTTTTCTTTTTTTTTGCCCTCTTCTTGAGAGACCTTAATTGTTGACACATTGATTAAATTTGTCGACCTACAGGCTGCACAGCTCTTTAGCACCACTTTATGAGGGAGTCATCTGTGAGCTGTGTCTCCGATCGCTCAAGGATCGCATTCAGTTGAACATGATCGCCTGGTGGGCCTCTGTAAAAGTTGGTCGTTATCTTGAACGTTTTTATGATGTGACTTACGATGATCTATACAAGGTTACTGTTTAATTATCTGCTAAGTGAATTCAAAACGGGTGGGTTGAGAGGTAGTGACCACGGGTCATCTAGTTTCAACTAACATTTGCGAAACGTGATAACCGAAGAAAGCCTCAACTCTTCTCCATCAATATTTCCCCCTCTGTCCATCTCTCTATGCCTCTTGATAATTCCCCATATATACCGCTTACCAAAACACAAGTCGAGCATCTCTACCAAGTCAGATTTACATTGTAGCCCATAAGTTATTACTGGTTACCCACGTAAAACACAACATCCGTAAATCATGGATGGTTCTCTGAGCTTCAGAGAATCGTAATATAGAAATGTCTGTTGTACCATTCTCTAACCACTGCCTGTCTCTTTTGATAGCATCTGATTCCTTCGAAGATTTGGGCATAGCAGTGTCTAAAACACACATTATGGATTGGTGGGACTCCAAACGCTTCAAAGTCTCTGTAGCTGGTAAAGATAACCAACCAAGCGCCGTCAACATCACCTGCACACCAGGTCAGCACTTTACTGGCAGACGAATTAAAAATAATCCTCAGCACGTATCTTCCCCGTCAAGTTATGTCCTGGGTTCATCGTGCACTGCTAGATAGTGTACGACTCTTCCGGGGCATAAAGGCGAAAAGAGCTGTGGGGATGCATTGGGCGTAAGCCCTCTTGTAGTTCCGTATCTTCAAGTTGGCTTAGTTGCCACAGGACATGGGTATCAACGGGCAAGGACGTCCTAGAGCCACCTAATCATCTGGCAGAGGAGTGCAAAAAACTTGTAATCGATGACGACACCTTCACAGAGTGAGATATGGGAAACACTCATCTTTTAGTTGCTCCGTCCCTGTATTTTCTGATATGTGCGGCATGGATCTAAATCATAGAACTCCAAAATTGATCAGTAACCTTTTCGCTGATAAAATTTGGTTACCGTTTATATAACAATCCCCACGTAGGGTTTCTTGGCTCTCCGTTTACGCTCAAGATCAAGGTGAAGCATATTTAAGGAAAAACATTTGTTACACATTCTGATCAGTCAAAGCCAAATTCATAAATGGTACATATGATCGCTACATTTGTGTCACTTCTGAGGAGGGGCAAGCACCATCAAGCTGAAGTAAACGCTCTCATTTCGAGCCAAATACTGGGTCCTCACCAACTCCGCAACATTCTACAGAACCAGGGCATCAGCAAGCTATTCCTACAAAACATCAAGATGATCCACGTACCACCAGCAAATCCATGCATTCCCCATGATCAACGGGTCCAGCCCTCATGCCATCCAACTCAACCAACTGCATGCCAGTTCCAGTGCTAGTGTTTGGAAGTCCGGTCTCGTGACCGGAAAAAGACCGTAACCAGACCGGACCAAGACCGCAAAAGACCGGACCTGCGGTTACGGTCTTTTATTTTTGAGATGTAAAGACCGCAAAAAAACCGGTTAACGTGAACCGGTCTTGACTGGTTTGGACCGGTCTTTTGTAACCCCTTAAATACCCTTTAAAACGCACCCAAGAACGTACGATTTGGTAAAAAAAACGAGAGAGATATGAATTAAAATGTAAATTACTTTTGGGAATAATAGATGTACCAGACTTATTTTATAGAAACACCAATTCCTAACGGAATTTGACGTTCTTGGGCTCGTTTTGAAGCTAATAGAGATGTTAATAAATTTACCGATTCATAATTTTAAAATATTGGCCTAAAGACCGGTCGTAAACCGGTTAAAACCGATGCAGACCGAAACCGGTCTATAGACCGCAAAAAACCGCAGTCTGCGGTCTTTTTGCGGTCCGGTCTGGTCTTTTGACTTCTGGAGAAAAGGCAGACCGGTTACGGTTACGGTTAACACCCCTGGGCATCAAAAAACCGGACCGAACCGGACTTTCAAACACTATCCAGTGCTCTTTGTGATATCTTCTGCGTTGGGCACAGGTTTTTCACCAGATGTGATTTCACGAAATTCGACCTCTGGCGCGGCGACGAAGCATGTGAAGTGGAAAGGCATGTTGGGATCTGGTGGACTCTGCCCTGATTCAGCCGATTCTGTGTGGATGCTAGTGAAAAGGGGTGTGGTTTCTAAGAGGTGGGCACGTTCTTCAGGGGTCTTGTCTGCAAAGTGGCTGGATGGGAAGGGCGTGCGGTGATGAATAGTGAAGAGAATCACCTTGACATTGGGCGATGAATTTGAGGAGGGCACTTGTGGGTGTGTAAGTCACCTCCAACTAGGTGTGACGGCTCAGATGAAGCAGATGCCATGAATGATTGCATGTACATTGGCCAGGGCATGAATAAGGGCCATGGTTCCGCATGCGCTGTCGATCTATGAGATTGTGATGATGACGTTACAATATGTGCACAGAAAAATGGTACTGCTTGCTTGATCCAGAAGATGGTATCGTCTAGTTGGGGTTTTCCTTCGTTAGCTATACAGGCATCTTCTTCCTCGTTTTCTTTGTCCAGCCCTTCATAATCTGGGTAAAGAAGAACAACAGCCTTGACTGGCCTGGCTACAACTTGAAGTCCAAGCAACTGAGGGACAGCTCTGTGACGCCTGACACACGGAGTTGCAGCACTGGCGTACCTCTTCATCTAATCCATAAACATCGTGGAATTGATTTTGAGATGAAACAAGCCCCACTTTCTTAGCCCACTGATCTCATAGACGTGAATAGGGCTGTGCACCATCCCCGTCATAGACGGGTCAACGGACGGGATATGATGGGCAATTGCCTGTCTCCGTTTGGGCCTGCAGAACACCTGTTTTCATCTGTCAGTTGACGACCATAACGGCCATCAGGGTCATGGTCACATTCTGTAATTTACTCGCACTTAGCTTTACAATCTTTTGACTATGTTCTTAAGTCTTTAATATTTACTTTTTGTAAAGCTCTATCCATGCTACATGTGGTTCAAATGCAGAGGGCATGTCAGCATTGGAAAGTACGGCGATCATGTATGGCGATCTGTGTGGCGATCTGTATGGCCGGAAACGTGACATTAGGCACGTGATGTTCAAATACTAGTCTGCGTCGCGTCGCGTTTCACCATGCTCCTTATTGACCTAGTTGAGCAGCTTGAAGGCCATACCGTGCTTCACAGGATCTCCCTTAGTATTCTTATGACACTTACAAGACTTACATTTTTCTACATCTCATCTGTACTTACATGTGTGTAATACTGCCCATGGTGGAAAGAGCGCGAACGATGTTCGTAAAGGAGATAAGTAACTACCCCCACTCATTGTCGTACCACGAAATGAGCTTGACAAAATTCGCGCTCAACGGGATTCCAGCGCCCGCGTCAAAGATGGACGAAGCAGTGGGCACACGGAATGCGAGGCCGCTGATCGGGAGCAAAAGCAAAAGTAAGCAGTAAAAAGACACGGTAAAGGGAGGAGATCGTACGTGAGTTTCCCGTTGAGCGAAGGGATGACCTTGCCAACGGCCTTGGTAGCACCAGTGGACGATGGGATGATGTTGTTGTTGATGCTACGTCCACCACGCCAGTCCTTGTGGGACGGGCCGTCGACAGTCTTCTGAGTCGCGGTGGTGGCGTGGACGGTAGTCATTGGACCTTCAACGATACCAGTTGTCGTGAATGATTTTGGCAAGAGGGGCAAGGCAGTTGGTCGTGCAGGACGCGTTCGAGATCTGTAGCTGCCGTAATCAACTCAAAGAAGAAATGGAGGATAGATGTGTACGCACGACTTTGACGGCGGGGTCGTACTTGTCCAGGTTGACACCGACCACGAACATGGATGCGTCGGCCGATGGGGCAGAGATGATGACCCTCTTAGTGCCACTCTTCAAGTGGGCTGAAGCCCTGTTGACGATCAATCAGGATGATTTAATGGGAAATGTTAAACGCCTACTTTTCCGTGGTGGTAAAGACACCCTAGACAGAAGACAGCAGTCAGCATCAGGTGGTCTACATCAGAAGAGGAAGGACGCACGGTGGCCTCGACGATATACTCAGCACCAGCCGAACTCCAGGTCGCGCTCGCCGCTCACCAACGATGGTGACGGGCTTGCCGTTGACAGTGAGCTTGCCGTCCTTGGCCTCAATGGTTCCCTTGAGTCGTCTGTGCACGTAATCGTACTTGAACATGTATATGCTCATTATTGGAGGGGGAAGAGGGAGACCCGCGTAGCGCACCGGTGTTTTGGACCGATGTAGCCGCCAAACATTCCGCCAAACATTTCGCCACATACACCGCCAAACATTCCAATTCTGACATTTTTTGCAAATGCAGCTCAAAAATAATCAGAAACAGGCAAAATGGTGCTGACTCATCAAAATTGCAATCCCGCGAAATGTCTGTTCACACTTTGTGCTTGCAATCTGCAGTTTGAAGGTGCAAATCTTTGTTATTTGTGCACAACATTTCTTTTTATGTCTTCCAGGTACCGAAAAAGAATGAAAAAAATGAATTACATTGACAGGTGGGTAAAACGGCTGTCCAACCCGTTTGCGGCCGTTTTTTATCTGTCCATTCCCGTTGTGGCTTTCAAAGTGCAAATTTACTGCCGTCCCCATCAAATGAATGGTGCGCAGCCCTAGACATGAATGCCGAAGAAAGCAGGGACTGGTGATATCACCCACTTGCCGAGTTAAACACCTGTAAGAACACTCTGTCAACCTAAAAACCTGTCCCAGAAATTTAACACTACCTGTGGGTTGCTCTCCAACGGGATCCAGCGATCCTTTGGAGTAGAGCTTGTGTTCTTTGGAAAACCGTAAGTGGCAGAATGACTCAGCGATCAGTGTTGTCTCAACACAACAAGTACAATTAAAAGCCTCCCCCAAACTGTGCCCAAACCATGCCTACAACTAGTGTTTAAAGGTTCAGTTCAGTCCGGTTTTTTGCCCCGAAAACGCGCAACCGTGGACCGCAACCGGTCCAGGACCGACCCAGATATTGAGGGAACCGAACCGAACCACCTAGGACCGGTCTTTTGCGGTCCATGATACCGGTTCAGACCGATCCAGACCGGTTTTTTTGCGTATAATTTATTATATCAATATAAACCATTTGTATCTCAACCATTATTACTCTGAAAAATAAACGGGTTATATAAAATAGTAAAGCATATAAATACCCGTCATTATACCAATTTTCAAGAGATTTAATGAAGATTTGACATAGCTATGACTGAAACCGAATTACATCTCCTAGAGACTCAGGTAAAATATGGATTTGGTTATATCTTTCTCAATTCTTAACCGTTTTTGATGAAACAAAAACCCAATAAAAGGCAATAAACGTTGTTACAAGGCTATGTAACGCACGTGACCGTTTAACCGGTTGCAACCGATTAAAACCGGTCTTTGAACGGTTTTAAAAGATTTTCGAAATGAGGCAACTGGCAACTGGACCAACCCCAAATTGGGGCAACTGCAACTGAAAAAAAGACTGGACCATGGTCCGGTTCAGTTCGGTCCACCGGTTTTTTGCAGTCCTATGGACTGAACCTTTAAACACTACCTACAACTTGTCTTTTAGCTTTCTGTCAACAGATAACACTGAAAGGCTGCAATCCATCGTAGTCAAGCCTCTCAGGGCTTTTTTTTCTGCATTGCAGCTCGACATTACACAACTGGCAGTCCTTTGCATGAGAACAATCAAAGTCATGTGGCATTCATATCATACCAAAGTTCAAACATATGTGATTTGCCTAGTCACCCTTCAAACAGGTTCCACAAACATAAAGAAGAAGAAAAGAGAAATTGGCATTCTTTTTCATCTTGTGTTCACAAACCTGAATCAAGGTACATAGAACAGAATTTTAAACAGCTAATCATGAATGGAATAGAAACAGGATTAACACTTCAGAAGGTCAACAAGGTTATTGTCATTCAATGGTAGGATCATTTTCTGAACGGGCGTCAAAATTTATGGACACAAAATTATCATTTCTCCTTTAGTCAAGAATTTCAATTCTGGATTTTTTTTCTGCTTGAAATTCTTTTCAAACATTTCAGCTAATGGATTCGCCAAAGGCAACCAAGACATTCAACACAGATCATGAGACAGTAATAGTAACTGATTGTTGGTTGTAAAGTATTTTGTAGTTGCATTTGTATTTCAATTCTTACAAAAATGCTTTGCTATCCTTTCTAGCCATGTTATCACATCTAATCCAACAGCATTCTCAAAGCATTCTCATCAAATATGGACTTATTCTGTTTTTTTCATTTGTTTACTATCAGTAACTGGTATCATTCAGGAACAGTGGTTTACATATGACGAGCGTAAGTCTTTTTTACCAGATCACATAGATTGGATGGGACTGAACCCTTCATATTTGAACCTGGCATTGCACAGCTTTCAGGATCGTAATTCCGCTGCTCAACTGCTTGTTCTCAACCGAGTCTCATTATTCTCATCGGTATGCACCAAGCCAACTGTGGTATCCGAAAATTAAGTCTTATGGTTGTCCGTCCTATTTATCGTTCCAGCCAACTTGCAGCAGACCGAGTTCAGAGAAGCAGCGAGGTGATCACTTGTCAAAATCACCTAAGGGTTTCGGCTGTGATAGTGGGTAAGGTTTCGAGCAAACGTGGATTACCTGGGGCCACGTCATCCTATAGTACTGGTCTTTGCGGGAATCTGTGAATAAATCGGGTAGAAGGCAAGCTTACACTTACGCTGGTACTGTATGGGCATCAGCGTTCCACTACTTGCGCCGCTTGAGCGTGCGATCGCATCTCGGCAAACACCCACGAAGGTTTAGTTGATACGTGTTTGGCAGACGTATGTCAAAAATACGATCACATCCTTGTCGCATCCACGACCAGCCACGACCACTAAGCGATGCGACACCGCGTGCTTTAGGAGCCAGATAATTTCTGTTACATTGTGGATGGATGCAACCTGAAGAGTTGCGAGTATCGAGGAATCCTCGCATCTGGGATATCAATCCCATCTTTGTTAGCCGCCCAATCGTCAAAGCTCTTGTTTGGGTCAGTGCAGACGGCTGCCTCATGGCAGATCGCAATCCCCGTTCCTTCAGCCCATCATTCCTTGATGTCAAGCTAGCATCCTGTTCGGCAGTACATCCTCCACATATCGGGACATCTTATCGCACCTCTCGTCAAGTTCATCAAAACATAGGATCCAAGGACGTAGTTCTAGGTGTGGTTAACTGGACTCTGGAGGTATGCGCCCACCTAGAAAAAACTTCCGTTCCTGATACACGGAATCAGACAGGTCCCGAGGTCTGTAATAGACTAAACCGGTCATTAGTAACTGCTCGCGGGAAGGAGACGACAATCGCCCACAATACGCTTTGAGCTAGTAACAGTGGAACGTTCGTATCACGTTGCTCTATCCCTGCTCTGGCTATGCTCCGCGTTCTCCTTGTCTGACTCGCCGCTTGAGCTCGTCGCTCGGCTAGAGCGCGAGCAATCGAAAATCATTACACTCATTGCTATCTTGTCCCCGTTGAGCAATGCCTCCGGCAATTGTAGGCTATTCTTGGTCTCTCATTCCGGAGATGTCCACTTCATAGATCTGACGATGGCGCCTTAGATATAGACTATCACGGATTGGGAAGACACATCTTGAAAACTTGTATTTGGATCCACTT